CTGGAGTCCCAGGATCAAGTCCCACATTGGGCTCCCTGCTCAGCAGGGAGTCTGCTTCTCCCTCTGACCCTCCCCCTTCTCATGCTCTTTTGCTCATTCTCTCTCTCAAATAAATAAATAAAATCTTTAAAAAAAAAAAGTCCCTTTAACATTTCTTACAAGGCTGCTTTAATAGTAGTAGGCCTTTAGCTTCTGTGTTCTAGAAAACTCTACCTCTCCTTCAATTCTGAATGATAACCTTGTTAGGTAGACTATTCTTGGTTGGAAGATTTTTTTCCTTTCAGCACTTTGAATATGTCTTGCCACTTTCTTCTGGCCCAGCATAATTTCTGCTGAGAAATCTGTTGATAGCCTTATGGGGTTTCCCTTGTATGTAACAATGGGAAATTGCTTTTCTCTTGCTTCCTTTAAGATTTTCTCTTTAGGGCGCCTGGGTGGCTCAGTTGGTTAAGCAACTGCCTTTGGCTCAGGTCATGATCCTGGAGTCCCAGGATCGAGTCCTGCATCGGGCTCCCTGCTCAGCTAGGAGCCTGCTTCTCCCTCTGACCCTCCCCCCTCTCATGTACTCTCTCTCATTCTCGCTCTCTCAAATAAATAAATAAAATTAAAAAAAAATTTTCTCTTTAACTTTTGACATTTTAATTATAATGTGTCTTGGTGTGGATCTCTTTGGACTCATCTTATTTTGGAATTTCTGGGTTCTTAAACCTGGATGTCTGTTTCCTTCACCAGGTTAGGAAAATTATCGGCCATTATTTCTTCAAATAAGTCTTCTGCCCCTTTCTCTCTCTCTTCTCCTTCTGGGATCCATATAATGTAAATGCTATTCCACTGGATGTTGTCCCATTGGTCTCTTAAGTTTTCTTCATTTCTTTCTGCTGCTCTGTCGGGGTGAACTCCATTGCTGATCCATTCTACCGCTTCATTCCTCTACTGTTGAACCCCTCTAGTGTATTTTTCAGTTCAGTTATTGTATTTTTCAGCTCCATGACTACTGTTTGGTACTTTCTCATATTTTCAGACTCTTTGTTAGACTTCACACTGTGTTCGTCCCAAGTTCAGTGAGAAACTTTATGACCATGACTTTGAGTTCTGTACCAGGTAAATTACTTATCTGCATATCATTAAGGCCTTTTCTGAGGTTTTGTCTTGTTCATTCATTAGGAACATACTTGTTTCCTCAGTTTGTTTGACTGTCTGTGTTTGTTTCTGTGTATTAGGTGAAGCAACTACCTCTCTGTCTTAAGAAGTGGCCTTGTGTAGGTGATGAACATTCTTGTTTGACCTTTTCCTAGCTCTTGATTGTCTTTTGAGCCTTTGTGATTGTCTAACCCACACACTTTATTCTTGATATGTCCCTGTCTTTAAAAGTGTGCCAAGAACTGTGAATATTCCAAGGGGAGGAATCTCATTTAGCACTACTTTCAGGCTGATTGGAAAACAGGCCCTCAGGCAGCAGCTTCTAAAGTATGCAAATATATACACCCCTGTGTGGCCACAATCATAATCCCTGCTGGCCTCCAGAACAGGGGCTCCAGAGGTGTCCTGTGGACAAGAGTGCAAAAACTGGGGCTCCAGACAAGTATATAACCTCTTCTCTGGGAGGTGTCATCAAGCTGTAGTGAGGTCAGGGTGGTGCTCAAGGATAGTGTCTCCCTGCTTACATTCCCTGGGAGTACCTCCTCAGCCTCCAGAAGTGTGGGAAATCGAAAGCCTGTCCCTCAGGCTGAAGCCCCAGGCTAAGTATATAGGCCTGTTTCAGAGGAAGACAGGTTGTGTTTCAGTCTGCTGTCTGTGAACTGCCCTGGGTGTAGTGACCTGTCAATAACTGTTCTTTGAACTGTTGCCTTTCCAGGACGTTTAGGAACTCCAGCCCCCGTGGCTACCTTGACCAGGCAATTAAAGGGTGTTCCCTATATGGACTGCACATGCCCACTGGACAGCTAGTGCAGGGGGTGGGCATACTCACTGACTTCAGAAAGGCAGCAGGAGAATGTTTTGACAATGTGTGCCCACAAGTTTCAGAAATAGTGGGACAGTGCCTTGTCTGTGAGTGCATGCTGGCTTTTGGCTGGGTGCAGGAGAATATGGTGACCACTCATGCTCACCTGCTCCAGCCAGGGAACAGGAGAGTGCTGCAACCACCCACACTCTCTGGCTTCAGCAAGGCAATGGGATAGGGCCACGTCCATGGAGCTCATAGTCTTAGACAATAAAGAATTGTGATCCCAGAACCCTATCCTGCTGTCCTCCACATGGCAGTGGTTTAATTTTCTTTTATTTAAAAATGTACTAAAGACCAATGGAGAAAAAGAGCAGTTCCCTCCACTATAACTGTGTCTTCCTAGATACTATTTTAGCAAACCGAAAGGGACAAATTGGCTGAAGAAAGAGAAAATTCGAAGTCTTTATCAGACCATGACAAAAACAGAGCTAAATAATTATTTCTAAGAAAATGAAATTACTTTTTATCACCACGTACTGAATGGCTTTCCCGACGGTCCCCTGTAAGTCTATAATAGCACTGAGTCACAGAACACACAACTCCTGACAATAGACTATACAACTGAAAAAATTAATCTCCTGTGTGCAAAATAACACTTTCATAACAATGGACAATTCATGCTTGCTCTCTCCAGACCTTTGCCAAACAGAATACCAGCGCAGGTTAATTATGTGAGCTAGTTGAAAATTGTGTGCATAATGGAAATGCATCCCCCTAAAGAACAGCTAAGAAGAGGTCTCAGCACCAAATCCAAAACAACAGAAAAGAAGTGCGAGAGCAAACATGAGGGCGTAGGCACAGACATTCTCATTAGCACACGGCAGCTAACCATTTTTGTTGATGCCTGTAATAAAGTTGTTAAATTCTGTCCTTGGAAAAAAAAAAACAAAAACCACTTTCCACGATTAAAGAATTCTCTCCCATGCTGACTCAAGGGCTTTGCTCCAAAGTACAGCTATGGATCATCCTTACATTGAAGACCTTTGTCACTTCGGGGAGCAAAAACAGTTCATGTCAGGGAGAACGCTGAAGACAACTTTCACGTGCGGAGTCTCACATCAGGCAAGGAGTCCCACCAGCTTGTCACAGGGTATGTGGAGGAAGGATCAATTTTGCCAAGTTTTATTTTTCACAGGTCACTGCGCCATGTCTGATACAGGGAACCTGCAGTAGGTTTGGGATTCGAGATCCCTGGGAAAAGTTTCTGAGAAAGACCCGTAGCCCCCACACCCAACAAACAAAACAACAGCTACCCTATGATCAAAGTAGATGTGTTGCACCATCTGTAATGTGTGAACTACTTTAAGTCCACCCCAAAGTTCAGTGAACTTATCATGCAAGGACAGATGCATTTGCAAGAGTTTCTTCTAGCCAATCTATGGTAAGCGGGGGTCCTGGCAGGAATGATAACTCACTCAATTGTGTCTTTTAAGAAGAGCTTCACAAAGGGACTTTTCCAAAAGGCCTGGGCTGGATGTAGTGGAATCCAAGTTCAACGTCAGGGGACTGTTAACAGCTTATTCCTGAGCTGAAGCGTCCAAGGAGAGAATGAAGGCAGAGGGAAGGAGAGAAAGAGATGCCGAACAAAAGTCATGACCTTCATTTAAGATGCAGCACTTTCCTTTGGTCAAGGAGGTAGTTAACCTACAGCACCACCACAAAGAAAGATCCTTTGCCTTCCCCCTCTTTCTGTTCTCCTGGTGTTCCCCTCTGGCTCAAATCCAAACAAAACTAGATGACAAAAGAGCAAGGAAGGTACTGATGAAGTCCTCGTGGGTCAACATTCCAGGGCAAGGCAAGGCACAGACTAAACTGTAGTGAAGGGAGAGAAGTAGATCAGGTGTGGCAGACAGAAGGCACACAGCACAGTGGATTTCTCTGAGAAGCATAAGCGTCCTTCATTTGGAATTTAAGGAAAAGAAAACCAAAATTTTATTAGGGCTATCCTTTTGTAATAAACTGGGCTAACATACAGGATTGGATGGTCAAACCAGATGAACTCAAATCAGAGATCGTATGCAGTATCAGGCTTCCCTAATAATTTCAAGGAGCCAGGCAATCAAGAGGCTCAGACAAAGCAGAGGTGCCCAGGACGTCAGGGGTGGTCACCCTGGTACTGTCTTCCTGCACTGGACATGCTTCTCTGGCCCAGAATAGCAGCTGAGGTCTCCAAGTGAGAGCCGTAGGGCTCCTTACACAGTAGGAACATTTACACTATAAGACATTTCCCTTTTACGCCCCAAAAGTTGGATAATCTATGTGCTCCTCTCTCGGGAGACCTGCCTCACAGATCCTGGGTTACAAGGTCTGAGTATAATTCATACTAAATGCAACTCAGCTTAGTTCCTTTGAGGAAGATGACAAGTGTAAGCACAGCCCCGCCCCACAGGCACACCCTTCATCCAGCACTGTCAGACTCTGCTCTCCCAGGTAAGTCAAGGCAGTACCACTCCCATCAGACTCTTAGGCCACCAGGGGCTCTTCCATGTGTGAAGCCTGGAGCTTTTAGATCTCCCTTCCTAGTATGAAGAAGATGGTACAGGGATCTCTCTAAAATACAGGATCGGAAGTTGGTGGGGGCGGGGGAGGGGAGTGGAAGGTGAGCCACAGCTAGAACTAGGGGTAAATCTGCTACCCTTCCAGAATTATAAGCGATTCAGTACAAGTGTACATTTTTCTAGGATAGCATCGAGAATGCCTCCAGGCTCCTCAAAAAGACTAAAGGCCTATAAACGTCTAGCCAGTAAAACTACACAGAGTTTTCAGTGAATGGGGATCCAAGGACAGATAAATTGAGTCCCTACTACCAAGGTCTGACCCTGGTCTGCACTGTCCACCCCTCGTCCACCCTCCTCACCAGAGAAAGCTTCTCAGATTCCAAGATGAAACCTGAGCATGAACACAGTCTCATTTTCCAAAAGGTTTCAAAGTAAAATATTTCAAATGCAAAACACTTCTTTTAAAAATTAAATTAAATGTAAAAAGTAGCACTTACCTTTTTAGTTTGCTAGATAAAGTCTGAAAGCCGTCTTGCAGTCTTTTGCATGTTTCTGTCAGCTGGAGCGACTTCTCAAACAGATATGTGCTGTTCCATGAAAGAGATTTTAAAAAAGATTGATTTAAAATGAGAGGTAAAAGATAACATTAACAACATTCAGATTTAATTGATAAAGCGTGCCCAAATGAAGTCTGATTTTCATTCCATTATTGGATTTCTCCATGGACAAGGAAATTGATATTTTCACCTCTGACAGGTCTAAATTAAAAAAAAAAAAAAGTTTGCACTGTAAAGTCAAACAGGAAAGAACTCTCGAAGGAAGACTTCATATTTTCAGGTTTTCATATTTTGTTAGTATTTATAATGAACACATCACTGAACAGCTGTAATCATTCCATACGTAAGTGCTTCATTTTTAAGAGATGCTGTCTCTGGCAGGAAGCATGCAGACACAAGAGATCAATATGTCTCTCCAAAAAGAAAGCAAGGTAAGTCTGGCCCTTGATTATTATAACAGCTATGATATAAGAGCTTGTTGCTGTTGTTTCGTGAACTTGGAAAACTGGAGTTGGAAAGAAACCAAATTAAAAAGCAAGTTAAGGAAATGGATCATGGAGTCAGGCAGCCTCCTAAGCCTCGAAGACACACATGGGCTTCTTCATCTCACTCCAGACATCAGCTTCCACATCTCCAGTGTGACCTCATACTGTATTGTCGTGATATATACATGATAGAGAAAACAATGTGAAGCACCTGGCCCCTTGGCTGACACCATAAATACTCAAAACAATATCCACTGTCACTTTCCTTAGACTCCAAAAATATGCACATAATCTTGACTTAACGCTAAATGCATTTATTTAATCATCCTGAAGGTATTTGCTGAGAACCTAGTATGGGCTGGGGGTCAGGCCCAGGATGCTTAGGTAGATAAAACAGACATGGGGTCCTTTCCCTGGTGAAGCATGCAGTCTGGTGGGGGAGAAAGCTATTCCTCAAACAAAGAACCACGCAAATGAATACAGAATGATGAACTGTGATTGGGATCATTAAAACAGCAGTGGGTGCCACAGTGGAGTGTGTAACAGGGAGACCTCTGCATCCTGAGGGGGCCTCTGAGCCAGTGTTGTGCAGGTCGGAGACCGCAAGGATAATCTGAGGGAGCTAGGTGAACTTTGGGAATTGGGGGAAGGTCCCAGGCAGAGGAAAAAGCAGGTGCAAAGGCCCCAGAAGGGGGGCAGCCCAGAGTGTCTGAGGAACTGAAAGAAGGAGTAGCAAGTAGGGGCCTGAGCACACAGGCCTGCTAAAGCATGTCGAGAATCCATCCTAATAACAAGGGGAAGCAGGAGAGTCATGTGACTTTTATGTACATTTTAAGAGCTTTGCTTTGCTGAGAAATGAAATGAAGGGAGGCAGGGCTGCTGAAAAGGTGGGCCGGTTCGGAGAGAGAGGAAGGCAGTGTGTTTTCCTAGCCAGGTGATAATGGAACCTGATATGACAACACCACCCCGTCGGCAGGTGCTTTACAGAACAGGGTCTGCACCCTCTTCGGGAGACACCCCCTGCACAGCTGGCTGGCTTTCCTGGGCAGCTGTGCTCCCTGCAATTTAGGGATCCAGACAGCTTCGGTCTCATGGCACCTTCATTCCGACAACCTGCTTCCGTACCTACCTGGTAGGAGAAGAAAGCGCGGGAAAGCGCGACCCTCTATCTGCATGCGTCAGCCCGGCCAGAACCAGGCACAGGCCCAACCCGATTGCAAAGTGGGAGTCAGAAGCTGACAGACAGTGAGATGTGTTCTGCAGGTAAGACTGACAGGACTTCATAATAAATTGGGTACAGGAAGCGAGGGAGCAAGAGGTGTGAAGGTAAAGATAGACACAAGACAGCTTCATAATTAGTTCTCCGATATTTCTCAGAAACGCTTTCTAAAAACACTGTCCACGGAGCACCTACAGGCTCACAAAAATCCCTCTTTATCCTGATCGGATTGTTCTCCTCCCTCCCCACCATCTCCTTCCTCCTTCTCCCTCCTCTGCCTTCAGGCCTGACCTTCTGTGCTTTCTGAATATATTATTGCACCTTCCAAGGATTTGTTTATTTCTAATTTGCTGTGTATTTTATTCAGGCAGCACCGTTAATGAAGTGAATTACCAAGACAACGGTGCTTTGAATTATGATGGCTTTGCAATACTGAATTGTGCAACTGGGGCAAGCAGGCACCAATAGGATTTAGTACCCCACAACTTTCCTGAAATTGGAGAGTATCTTTGTTAATAAAAAGTCAGAACCATTTTGCCCAACTGAAATCACAGAAGAGACACAGAAAGCAAATGAGAGTATCTGGTGTAAAGTGAAGATGAGAGCCTGAAGTCATGGGGAAAAACAGGGTCTGAGGTTTCAGCAGGGCCAGCCTTTAGAGTTTCCTTTTTAAAAATCTTTACTTGACAAAGTAGTTATAGGGATGCTATAGATTGAATGTTTATGCCCCCATAGAAGTCGTATGTTGAAATTCTGATCTCCAAGGTGATGGCATGAGAAGGTGGGATGCTTGGGAGGTAATGAAGACATGACCAGGGGGAGGGGGGGAGGGAGGCTCATGAATGAAATTAGTGCCCTTATAAAATCGGCCTGAGAGTCCCCATCCCCTTCTGCTGTGTGAGGTTACAGCAAGAGAGGGCCTTCTCTGAGGAAGTGGGCCCATACCAGATCTGAAGGTACCATGATCTTGGACTCCCAGCCTCCAGAACAGAGAAATGCACTTTTGGTTGTTTATAAACCACTTGATCTATGGTATTCTGTTCCAGCAGGCTGAACGGACTAAGACAAGGGGATACACAGGATGTGTACAAAAACACTTAGCACACAGAAGTCACCAAACCCATGTTAGGTTTTTATTCTCCTGATGCGTCATAGTATTCCTTCCTCAAACCAGTCACGGTCATTAACACAGGGGTCAAAAACTTGTCCCACCCCTAGAAGCTACTTCACCGTGAAAGGGACAGAAAGAGAAGCCCCTTGGCTTCTCTTTGCTTTCTGTTTCTCTCCCGTCTCCTTTCATTCCGAGTCTTCATACTTTTCTTCCTTTTTTCTAATGTCCTTAAAACCTGCCAAGGAAAATAGTAAGATACTCACACGCAGAATCCGTAAACTTCAGACGTTTTTCTACATTAGGCATCTGATCAATATAGACCCTTTCACTGCCCTCCAGAGAAGTCTCTCCATTCATGCTGTTTTCAACTATGCTTGTTATTCAAAGTGACAAAAGTACATCTTAACAATGTAATTGCTATGTTTTTTTTAATAAGTCTTTTTCTTTTTAGATTATTTATTTATTTGTCAGAGAGAGAGAGCACAAGCAGGGGGAGTGGCAGACAGAGGCAGAGGGAGAAGCAGGCTCCCCACTGAGCAGGGAGCCCGATGCAGGACTTGATCCACCCTGGGATCATGACCTGAGCCGAAGGCAGATGCTTAACTGACTGAGCCACCCAGGCGCCCCTGTAACAGCCATGTTTTAAAATGCTTGAATACCTGAGACCCTGAGAGACACCAGGAGTCCTGGGAGCCACAGAGAGCATTAGGCTTTGGGGGGAGAAGGTGAGATGGCTTGGTTAGGTTAGCTTGTCAGACCTCTCTGCTGTGCAAGTAAGTGAGAATTAGATGTTGCTTGGATCTGAGCGCTCTTAGAGGACCATGAAGGAGTTACTTGCTCTTGGAAGAGAAAAAGAAGAAACCCTGTCAGTTCTGATTTGAGAGAAGACATGATCCATGGACAGATCCTATTTGAGAAGCTGGCACCCACCGCCGATGAAGATGTTCGAGTCCTCCCTAACTTCTGATTTGGGGACATCTCCCAGACAGGTCAAAAGAGAGAAAGTAGGAAATAATGAAGGTGCAAGTAGGAATTCTAAAGACCCAGAGTTAGAGGCAAGCTGGTGGAACAAGAGATTGCCACCAGGCAAGCGTGGGCTGATTTGTAACCCAGAAAGGATTCTTGGGGATCGGTTGCAATGGCTCATCAGAAAGGACCAGGGGGCAGGGAGAACTTGAAATGGTAAAAGCAGCTACAGAGGTGTCTCACGGTCAGATGGAAGTCCAGGATATCAATGGGGACCCCCCTAAAACTAACTCAAGTTGGTGGTCTGAACAGTTGGGTCTATGGAGAGAAAAAGCACAGGACTCAGAAGGGCTGCCAGATATGCTCTAATAACCAAATATTGCAGGACCAGACTTTCTTGGGCTTAAAATAAGAATTCTGTTTCTGTCAACTGAGACTTTCTTTTTAATTTTCATTTCAATTTTCTAGTGAAGGCCCTTCTGAAATACTTTTACCAGAATTAGGTAAAGAAAAGGATCGGGTGATGGGGCGCCTGGGTGGCTCAGATGGTTGGGCATCTGCCTTCGGCTCGGGTCATGATCCCGGGGTCCTGGGATCGAGTCCCGCATCGGGCTCCCTGCTCCACAGGGAGCCTGCTTCTCCCTCTGCCTCTGCCTCTCTCTCTGACTTTCATGAATAAATAAATAAAACATTTAAAAAAAAAAAAAAAAGAAAAGGATCGGGTGACATATGATCAACCAAGCTACACAGCTGAGGATGCCCTCAAGACGAGTCACGGAAGAGACAGTGGCCATCCTCTTGGAGATGCACAAGACCTTGGACCAACATAGAACTTGAAGCCTCCCAGACCAGAATGCAGAGATGGCTCTAACTACCCAGCGGATGCCTCTTTAATCACCCCATTATAAGAGCACGACCTCTGCTCATGGGTCGCTGTTTAAGACTGCCCACCTGCTCATGTGTGACGTTCATGGCATCTTCAGAGTGCTCCCAATTCCCTGCTCCCTTTGCAAAGCTGCAGTAATGGAGAAAGACAGCTCCCGGCACCATACATTGCTATACCTGACCCCTGGGGACCACACAGGCAGGTGGTTGGTGCCTGGATACATTCATGGTGCCCAATTTGCTTGGTCTTTGGTCCACCTTGATGATTCCATTACATGTTGCCAGCTAACCTCCCCCTCCTGTTTTCCTCAGTGACTACCTACCCATTCACCGGTATCTGCCCTCCAAACTTCTCACGTAATCACATGTCCTATCTCAGAGGAAAACAACGCTGCCAGGTGTGAACTGATCTTTCGGGATCAGCCATCCTTACTTTCCATCTCAGAGGAAAAAAGTCTCTCTGCCCAACGAAAGGATAATGTACCTGCCATCCTATCCATGCCCATCTCTTTTGAGATCTGGGCTCATCCCTTCATTTTGTTCCCTTGCCCTCCCACCGTCCCCTCCTCCTCCTCATGCTCAATTCTCTCCCAACTCAAGGTCAAAACCAAACAAAGCTCATTCTGCTATTCTCCTTTACCTACTGCCTTGTCTCTCAGATGGCACCCTGCTACTGTCACTTTTCTTTTTCTACAAATCCACTCAACCATTCTTGGAAAGCGTCACCAAAGCTGGGGGGTGCTTTAGTCCTCCTACTTTACCTCCCAGTAGCTGAACTGCAGACCCCCCACTCTGCACCTGGTCCCCACCACAGTCCTCTCTCCCTGGTCTTCTATCCTGCTCCCCAGGGGTCTTCTTGTTTTGCCTGTTACTTTTATGCACCTGGCTGGTGTTCGGCGACAGCGTTCCCCAGGACTTCCTCCAGATCTCTTGTCTTCTCAGCCTGCCTGTTTTCTCGAAACATCTCCACCAACCTCCCTTCCTTTCCGCTCCATGCTCACTGCCCCCTGGGGGGTGGGTGCACATGTACATTTGATCCTGTCATTTCCCTGTGCAAAGCCCTTCCATGACCCCCACCACGCTCAGGACACGCTCCCCACTCCTTGACTGGACATACAGAGCCCTATAGGACCCGGCCCCTAAGATTCCACTCTCATCTTTCACTGACAGTTTGCTAACTGCTCAGTGGTACAAATTCCTCTTTCTCCATTCCTTGCAAATCTTGTATTATGGATTCTGACTGCTTTTATTATTTAATTATAGAATTTATTTGTTTGGTGCTGGCAAGCAAGGCTTCAGGCACATTTTCATCACTTCACTGTGTCGGGGGAAAAAAATCTTTAATAAGATTTGGGGGAAAACATACACAAAAACAAGCATTTCTGCTATCATTATCTGTGTGGCTGATCTGCTTTTTAGAAATGCTGTCTTTAGGGGCACCTGGGTGGCTCAGTCGTTAAGCGTCTGCCTTC